AAGCCATCCAGATTGCTTTTGGAGATCTGCTTTGAATTGAAAGTCATAGTTATTTTGTGTTTGAAAATGGATTTATCCACTGATTGCCTCTAAAGTATGCCTTCAATTGGCTTCTTCTCATTGGAATTAGAAAAAATTGAAGAAAAAAAATGTCCCTGAAATACATACCTTTTCGGCGATGGCATCAATGTCATTGGCTGGTTGAACGGGTTGTGATTTCATCGTCATAAAATCAACGGTGTCTGTCTGTTTGGCCACAGGTACTTGTGCTACTGGCTCATGTGTCGGTTTCACAATCAGTCGTACATTAATATTTGGCTTAGATTTTGTGGCTGATTCGTTTACTTTATTGCCCAATCGTTTGAACACCGACTGTTGCTGTGAATCAACACTGTCGCTAAGCCAAAGTTGCGACACTGTATTTTGCTTCGGCTCAACTTTTCGTGGCACATTCGAGTTCTGTTGGCTCAAAATTCGTCGAATATTCGGATTCGATAGATTAATTTTTGGTACCAAAGCCACTGGTTTTGGCATAGACACAGGAACTAGACCTGGACATTTGGCCTCTGATGTGATCGGTTTTTTTGGCTGAATGTTGGTACTTTTTACCGGCGGCGTTTGATTCCAAAGATCATGTTTCCACACACCATCGGGTAAAACCAGTTTGGATTGCGACAAAACCATCTTCATTGCGAGTGAATTCACCGGCGAATGGTTCGATATGGCCTGTTTTCTTGTTGAATTTCACTAATGTATGGATTATGTGCATATATTTGGTTCTGACATTTGTTAATACACTCGTTCTTCCCATATGCTCAATCAAGTCGAGTTGAATCACACGATGGTAGCTGTTCAATGTAGCTCTTACAGACTCTCGATATCGCTTTTTTGTCCACCGCAGAGAGATCCATGTTCGGTTGCATTGATACGGTTTGATTTAAAACTAGAATTTTAAATAAATCATGTGCAGATAGATCTTTTCTACGCAAATAACCCTCCAAATATGATGAGCTAAGTACGCGCGAAATCAATTCCCGATTAAAATGGCCAAGAACTACGAGTTGCAATGTGAATGGCAAACATAATTGTTTGTTTGGATGTGTGCCAGATTTTCATTCGCTAAAATCGCCGGAACAATGCGATCTGACCAGATGTCAGTGCCTTCCGGACTTTTGGGTGTGAAACAATTATTTGCAAATGCCTGAATGATTGTAAACACTTCGAAAGAGCTCAACGTTCGACAGATATCAACATTTGACACCAATTTATCACCCATGTACTTCAGCAATGCTACGCTTTGGAAACCCTGCAAATAAAAAAAAGTGATTTAGTTTTAGGATTTATTTCATAAGCAGCTTTCTTCTCTTTAGCAAATTGCAAATTTTAGCTTTTGCAAATTGTCTTCATACTTTCATTTTTAGTGTCGATACCTTTGTGGCTGGCTAGATAATTCAGAATACTGACTAACTCCGACACAGGACACACTATTCTCTTTATCGATTTGTTGTGTAACTTGGAGCTCAAAAAGGTTTGGTAGCGATGACTGAATGGTTTTCTGTAGCTCCGACCGGCATTCCGTTTGGCTCAGCACAAAATCCAAGTAAATGATTTTATCCACTGACAAATTGTTGATTTCATGTCGAATCAAAGCCAATAGCACCAAAGATATTTCACTATTCGTTGGAACGCCCAATGAACACAAAAATTTAAATGATTTAACCAGCTCGTCGGAGGTAAACATTGTACTGCATCGTTTCAAATGACGACACAATTGCTCGAACGTCGGATGTGTTGTAATGAAATCACATTTGACGGTGTCTTTGTTGGCTCTCTGGAGCGCAGCTATGGTTTGTAAGGCACGTATCACTGTTTCACCCGGCATCGATCGATAATCGGACGGATTTGATGGTAATGTACTCAATATTTGCAATGGATGTGTAGCCGATTTAAATTTCGTCTCAAGCACTTCAGGCTCATGACTTACTGTGACCGGATCTTTAAAGAAAAAAAGAAACATTTATGGCATGTATGTTAATCAACCCAATTGAATAATTCAGATATTAACACGAATGCAATTTCACAAGACAAAACTTTTTTTACCACAACAATCTGGTTGAATTCCGAAGAATTCGATTACGAGGCCATCGATGTGTCACAAACAGCATCCCAATCAAAGCGACCGTCAGCCAAAACGTTGAAATTTCACATCGACTCAATGTATTTCGTTACCAATCAATCGAGCTATCAGAAGCCGATCCCTATGGAAATTTGCTGAAAGAAAAAAAAGCCAATGCTTATTCAGCGAATCGCAATCGATGAATTACTTATCATCGTGTGTTCAGAAATATACCAAAGTACCATTACTTAGCCTGCGCGAAGATGGCAGAATGGTTTCCTATGACTACGAATTTCCAGCCTACTGCTCCTACTGCCAATGCGAAATTCAACCGCAAAAATCGACAAAACACCAACGATTCTAGATTTAGATTTGACACTATGCACTCACTTTTATTGAGATTACTTGTAATATTTTTGATAACTTTTCACACAATTCCATGATATAGATTTTGTTTTAAATGGAAAAGTACTGTATTACTGTATTGACTATGATATATATTCGATAGGGAATTTTTTTGTCTTTATCACTTTCACGTTCACATCATTTGAATAAAACTGATTGAACACAATCATAAACAATGAATCATTGAATGAAAAAACAATATGTTGACGTTGTGTGAACGGTCGAGCTGTCATTGTCATTGTCATTGTCGGTAGTTCTTCGCGAAAGTCACTAGTGGCGCCACTAGTATGTAAGAGCTCAAATGTTCAACAACTTATACATTATAAGTGTATAGGAATATTCCGAGTTTGCTCAGACATTTACCAAGTTAAGTAAACATTTAATCCGCGATAATTGCAATTTTCTCATATTATTCAAGCAAGATGATATGAATTTAAAGCATGCTTATGATGATTTCGGCATAAATTGCGATATGAAATTTGATGAATTCAAAAAATTCTGTCTCGAATGCTGGCGCGAAAAATACGGCTTTGTTGTTATTGATCTAGAAAGTGATGTAAACAATGGTCGATACCGTAAAAAATTCAGCGAATTTCTTCAAGTCTATAAAAATGATGACTGATCGGGCATTTGCGTTAGTCTGATTTTTAACGCTACACAGTCAAGATAGTGAGATAAAATGCGCAGTGAAAGGGAGTTGTCATTAAAACGTGAAAAAAATATAAAATCGAAACTTGTCAAAACACGCAAAATCATTCAAGATAAATTTAATAAAGCCTACAAAAATCGCATCACTCGTGAAAGTGAGCTCAGCGAAAAATATCGCCCAATAACTCAGGCGATCGGTAAATTGGCTGAGGGGCAAAAGCATCAACGTGGAAAATTTAATACACCCAGTTTTCAAGATGAATATTATAATGATGATCCAATTTATGATGAAGTTAATCATAGCAAATTCGGAATTCCCTCTGATAGTGATGCTGAATCAATGGATTATGAGGATTGGACTGATGATTCGGAGGATGGGTATATGGATTTCACCGAAAATCAAGAAAACGTTTCAGAGAATTTTGATATTCCTGGACCATCTCATGCTGGTGCTAAGGAGAAGAGGAAGCGAGAAGATGATAAGCGTCCTATTGACACTGTGTCTATTTTGTCTGATGGTAGTGAAACCCTTATCAAGCCAACTACCGGTGGAAAACGGTCGCGACTTTCTCAAACATCTATTGATAAGCGACAGAAAGCGACAAATAAAAAAAATAATAAAAAAATACAAGAAATGCGGAAAGTAGATGAAATTTTGAGCGATCGCAATGAAATAAGAAAAGAAAAGGCTGAAAAAAATCGAAAAATTATTATGTCATTCCCAATTTTGTTGATGATAGCGATAATGACAGTGAAAGTGGCTCAGCTATCGTAATTGATAGCGAAGAAGATGAGGTTCCAGCGGATCGCAATCCAGCAACTAAGAGAAAAGTGGAATCTAAAATTCCATTTAGTAAAAATAAATTTATAAAAGTGCAGCCAACTTCATTAAAAAGCAAGTTAAGCGGTCGCGTAAATGCAAATAAATTGCGTCAATTCATAAAGATGCCACGTCCTATCACGAATTCACTGTCACGTTCTCAGAAAATCCCAATAAAAACGATATATGCAACACCAGCTATTGATAATCCATATTTGACAGTGAGTGAAATTTCAAAACGAGGACAAGAAAAAAATGAAACAGCGCAAGAAACGCCGACGGAAAGAACAAAGAAAACGAAGAAAAAGAAGAAAACGAAGAAAACGAAGGAGGATGAAGTTGAAATGACCAAAAAAACCGGCAAAGGGATAGAGACCGACTTTGTCCCTTACAATGAAAATATTGTACATGAATTTTATGACGATCCGAATGAGTTATGCGAAAGGTTGCGTCTCCTAATAGCTTCTCGCACCGCCGGAAATAACAACCATTCACAAGAAATAAATTCCATAGTCGCCGCACTGCGTGAAAGTGGCATCATAAAATAATTCATTCCTAATGTAAGATTTTTTTCACCGTCTCTTCAACATATTTTAAGAAAAACAACGAATGCCGTAAAACTGTAACAACCTTATCATTTCTGGATATACATAAAAAAGGGATATTTCAGTTCTGACGAATTCTGCCGAAAATGTTTACCCTTTTTTAATGGACAATTTTCAACCTATTTTTTATGATCGGTCCAATTACGCAGGACCGATCGATATTGCCATTCATATGTTCATGTCATAGGTTGTAAATACATAAAATTAAGGCGACAGAACATGAACTAGAGAAGTTGAAATAGTTTTTTTTTTTTAGGAAATGCATTATATTTCACAAAAAATCTACATTTCAACTCAATTTGAGTGAAAATATGAGTTAAAATGTACTATAAAATAAGGACCAAGTTGCTGTAAACATTTAGTTAGTTTCAAGCAGCGAAAAACAAAAAAGCAACCTTCCGACAAAATGATGCCATTTTTGACCGAACAAATTCTTCAGAACGCCATCATGATGCAGCGCATGGTGTTGCAGCAATTGAATTCGCAGTCTCGTGCAATGGACCTCACGATGAATTCAAACTATGGCTACCCCGAGTACCAGGACCCATCACCAACGGTTTCGCCATTTACCTACCCGTACCAGCTGCATGAGTACCAGCCACCAACATGGCACATTCCTGAACGACAAACACCACCTCCACCACCACCAGCACCAGCCACACAACTACCAAGCGAGCCGATTTTCGACGAGAACACGGTGGAGATGATGGAAATCCCTAGGACTAACAGGGATGGAGGAGCAGCTGCAGCCGTGGTTGCTGCGGACAATGGTGAAAGCAGTGAAGAAGAGGCTGGGATGGTTGTGGACGACAGCATCGAGGTCATCAGCGATGACGAAAGTGTGGTCAATCTTGTCGACGATGAAACTGATGATAGTGGTGATGAAGCCAATGATGACGTAGTGTATGTCCGCTCTTATTATCGAGCAAACGAGGCGGCTGACGGTTTATTACAACTGTCAAATCGACGATCTTCACCGCAATCACCTCCACAAACACCTCTACGAGCATCACCACCATCACCACGATCGTTGCCGTTGCCTAATGGGTTTGATGCCGCACCGATGCAATCGCCAAGAACTCCGGACACCACTCGACGACCACCAACACCACGATTTCGAGGATTTCCACGCTTATCGCATTCCATCGCTCGTTTAGAAGGATTGCGACGTGAGCAAGAGTCGCAGCGGCGTGAACGAGAGCGCGAGGAGGAGCAGGAACGTCAACGACAACGTCAGCAAGCCCGGGAGCGTGAAATTCAACGTGGTCGTCCCCTTTGCGCTATTTGCAAGGAAGATCTATTGGCGAATTCCCCAATGGTTCTTCCTTGCAACCATGTTTATTGCAGCGACTGTCTGGAGCAAATGTTCCAGCATCAACCGTCGTGCCCCGTTTGTCGCACGGGTGTTCCATCGATTGAATGGTGCGACCCAATTTATTTTCCATGATTGGATTATGAACATTTGAAATTTGTATTCGAAATTTTCTATCATTTCATTTAAATAAAAATAAAATAAAATGAAAAAAAAGGTCTTTTATTTCACTTTTTTCATATTTTCAGGACCCTTTTTGTTTTCTTCTTTGTCTTCTTTGCTTTCTTCTTTGTCTTATTTTCAGGTCTCTTTTTTGTTTTTAGGTTCTCTTTCTGGCTTTCTTCTTTGCTTCTTATTTTCTGGTTGTTCTTTGCTTCTTTGCTTTTTTGTTTTCATGTTCTTCTTTGCTTTCTTCTTTGTTTCTTATTTTCAGGTCTCTTTCTTTTTCCTCATTGCTTGACCTTCCCTTTTGTCTTCGTCTTCTTTTATTACACAGCATGCATGCTGCGTGCATGCTGTTACTATTGTTGGAATAATAAAACGCGAAAAACGCGAAAACGCGACGCGAAAAACGCGAAAAACGCGAGGTGATTAGCGTTTTCGCGTTTTTTCGCGTTTTTGGAACCCCTTTTTTATACTACTAAACAGCTCTCTCTCTCTCTCCCTATCAACAGCAAACAACCATCACAACAGTGTGCGTGCTTTGCACAAAACGTAGCACAAAGTGAGAAAAGAGAAAATAACACACAAAGTGTAATAAGACCTAAGTCCAAGCGACGCACGCAGTGCTCGCTCTCTGTATGAATGGATAGAGAAAAAAACACACTCAGCAGTTTTCACTCTCTCTCTCTCTCTCACTCTCTATAGACACACTCAACAGCAATCGATACCGCACAGAATGTAGCACAAAGAGAAAAACTCTCTCTCTGTTTATACACAGTCTCATAAGAATGGATAAAGGGAAAAAACACAGAATCCTTGTGTAGCTTTCGTGTGAACGAAGCCAAAGAAAAGAAATAGAGATAAAAAAACACACAATGCAGCCAGTTTGTTTTTTTGTATGAAAACCGTATCAATATTAATTTATTTTTCCCTTTTTCGCTAACTTACCATCATCCAATTTCAATGATTAGACTATCAATGGATAGGTAATTGACTGTAGATGTCAATAAATGTAAAAAACACTCAGATAAGTCAACAAATGACTGAGTTATTTGCATTTGAGTGAAGTAGGTTTTCTATGAAAATATACTGTATATACGGGTAGCGGACATAAGTTCCCGGACGGACGGACAGAATG